AAAGTGAGACGGCAAGCAAAAATGAATATTAAACAACTGTAAATCACCTTTTGTTTCCGCGATGCATCTAAAACATCATCCAACTGACGACGCAAATCTTTATTCGTAATCTGCAATGGTGTCACATATTACACTGAAATGATCTAACGAGCACACTATATCTCCTTTCACTCTCCTCGGAAATATCCATTACGCACTGCTGTCTATTCGCAGTTGACAAAATAAACAGTGCAAGCTAACCTTCAACTGTTCATGATCAAACTGAAGTTGATCTCGTTCAGATTCCGATTTTTTCAGCTGACCGCGAAATTCGTCAATTAGTGTCGCTTGATCTCTGTTGATTTTCTCCAGCTGTTGTCTGTCCTTAAATTTCACATTCTCCACTCCACTTATTTTGAATATTTTGGGCTATTATTCGCACGTTCAGAATGTATGAAATTGGGGATGAAATGTATGAAAATTATAAAACATTTGTTGAGTAATTTACAAGTACTCAACGGCATAAAAATCATTCAAATCATTTGACTGTTCACGAAATACTGTGAACCTCACTAAAAACTCATTGGAAAAACAATGAAAATTTGACAACTCCCTACCCAATGCAACAACGACTGGGGCTAATCATCATTCACTGATCATGAATACAACTTGAGTTATTTTCAAAATCATAAAAACTTTTGATTTGTGAGACTTCAGTCAAATCGAACGCACATGACCGCTACCGCTATTCTCAGTTTCAACTATTGTGCAACAATAAATTCCTAACACTTTAATTGTTAGTTTTTAACGCGAACGTTGGACAAATGGTTATTTGACAATTTGTCGTTTATGTTCCATAACAACGATCAATTTTTAGAGCGTTATTGATGTCGAGTGATATGAATTCAATCAAAACTACCTTATCATTGCTTTCGAGTGTTGCGAGACGCTGTTTTAGAGTGCTTAATGAGGCAAATGCACGCGCTGCATTCACCTTTAACATCTCACAATTACTACATTCTCTTTGATCAGGACTATTCGACGAGCCATCATCTCGTTGATCGGAAACAATGCCATCGGATGTCTAAAATTTTGATTACATCACATTTGGGTTATGACATGAGCGGAAAATTTTTGGAATTAAGAGATTTCAGAAGAAGGAAGTTATACATTTTCAGTCTGTGAAGCCAAACAAATGAGGCAAGTTGTATCTCAAGTTCGAATAATCTGTCATTTTTCTTTGACTATTACAAACACTTTTTGACCATTACAAACAACGAATATCCAATCAAAATTACCTTATTACTGTTTTCTAGAGCTGCAAGACGTTGTTTCAGAGTGCTCAGTG